TTTGCGCACCCCCCCAAGGGCCCGAAATTTTTTCATCGTTTTTTTTTTTTTTTTTTTTTTTTGCTCTAAAAAAGAAAGAACTTTCACGAGAGATCAGGAGTTTGTCTGAGGGGGCAATACCTGCATGGAAAATAACACGTGATAAAAAAGTAGTTTCATAAGACCTCATCAAACTTAAAATTTGTGAGAAAACATTAAAATGAGTGCGTTTAGAATTAGTTTTAAAATAATTTTATTTTCAATAAAAAGTAAAAATAAAATTATTTTGAGAATTATTTTAAGACCAATTCTGAAATTACGTTTAGTTAATTTTTTAAAAGATTATTTTGAGTATAATAAAAAAATAAAATTATATTTATTAATTAATATATTATAATATTATTAATAAACACTAAAATATGAAAATAATAATAACAACTTTTAACTATTTTTTAATTTTTTATAAAAAATATTATCACTATTTTTATTTTTATTTTTAAAATATTTATTAAATAAAAGTCGTTTCGTTTTTACTTTTTTAAAAGTACGTAAAAACTGTTTTTGAAAACGGTTTCCGCCCACCATATTTCTTCATACCGTTTCCCCAAAAACTTTTTTGTGAACCCCACCATGACTTTTGGGTTTATCTCTGTTTCCATCTTCTCTGCACAACTTGTTCTTCACGGGTAAAAAAAAAAAAAAAGAGAGATCTCCGTTTGGTATTCAGGATGTGTTTGACAAATCTATGGCCTATGGGCATAGTTCAACAATATGGGTTTTGCAAGCTTAAAAGCTCCACAACTTTGCCAATGAAGAAGAGAAGCAAAGAGCCCTAATCACTCCTTTTCCGAATTCGACGTCGCCAATGACGGTCTTTTGGAAGTTGCCCATGAAAAATCGCAGACTTTGAGCCCACTAGCATCTGCTGATGCACCAACTTCCGATTTCCGGCTGTCGCTCGGTGATCCTTCGGCTTGGCCTTCCTTCGAAACTTCGTATTAATTTGAAAGACTAGTTTTTTTTTTTTTGGGATCCCAAAAAAGTTATCAGTATATGAACCTCAACTAAAGACTCCATCAGCAAGGATGGTGATAAAGGGGTTGTTATTTTAGAGTGTAATTTGAGTGTAGTTTTTGAGTTATAACTTAAATTGAAGTTGTAACTTGAATAAAGTTAAAATTTAAAAGAATGTGAACTTGAATAAAATTAGAACTCGAGTTGTCTTTTTTTGAGTTTTTTGGACAAAAGAACATGCCCGAAATTTTCCACTATGAACTTTAGTCCACGTGAACTTTAGTGGACGTTTGGTTCACGTATTCAGAATGATTATCAGTTTACATGTATTTTTAATAAGAAAAAATATTATAATAAACTGCAAATTATAATTTGAATTATAACACGAATCCTCATATTAAACACTCTCTTAGAATTTAGATGATTAGATTGAAATCACAAATCTATTAATAAATTTTCACTTTTGTTTTTCTTTCTATGGTAGATCACGGAGCTAAACACAGAAGGAAGAATAAGGCCCCATTCACTTCACCGATTCGAGTTTAGAATTTGAGTTTTGCTACAGTAAAAAGTTCTCAGAAACAGTCACATCTAACCTTTTTTCTACAGTAAAAAGCTCTCACATAAAATCACATCTAAACTCGAATTACAAACTCGAATCAGTGAAGTGAACAGAAATGATGGAGAGTAAAAGTCCTTTTAGTTAGTTTCTTTCTTTTTTTTTTATGAAACCAAATATAGAAAAAAATCTTCTCCGCCACGTAATATGGTGGTCAGTTTTTTATTTATTAAATTTATATAAAATTATGTAAAAATAAAAAAAATATGTAAATTTAACTCTTAAAAAACTCAAATTTATTAATATATTAAGAGTGCATTTAATTAGTGTATTCGTATTATGATTTGAATCATAATTTATAATTTATTATAATATTTTTTTATAAAAAATACACGTAAAGTAAAAAAAATTTTAAAATAAAAAATAAAAAATAAAATTAGGGGGCCCCTTTTAGTGAGTGCCACGCAAGGTCGTGAGTCTACGAGTAGGGACAAAAAGTGTTTTCCTTAAATCAGGGGATAATTATGTTAGATTTCACGCAGTAATTGGTCTACTTTATCTAGTTTTATGTAAACGTACAACAGAAAAGTCAAAACTACCAGTGCAAGTACTCCATTTTGTAAAGGCCTTGGGTCCCACACATATCCGTTACTTAAGTTAGAAGACTATTTTCGCATCGAGATTGGATTAGATAATCACCTCAACTTATAAAAAACAAGAAGCAGAAAAAAATAAATTAAGGTGGAGTAGAGTGAAAAGAGCAAAGAAATTCCCATAAAAAAAAAAAGCGCAAATAAGTAGTGTAGAAAGCACGTTTTCTAATATTCAAAATTCAAATGTACGAATCATGAATATCATATACCAGCTGGTAATTTTCTTTTGCTGCAAGATTTCTAGCGCTTCCCAAGAATTGATGAAATCCAATGTGACCAGCTATTTTGTAGCCAATATATTATATACCTTAATATAATAATAATAACATGTTATCCCTTTGAAAAAAATAATAAAAGTAGTAGTAATAATAAAAGAGATTCTCTGACGTATCAATAAATTATGTTTTTTTAATTATTAAATTTGTGTATTTTTTAATTTTTAAGTGATTTTGTATAGATTCGATAGACAAAAAATTTAATTTATTGGTATGTTGACGTACCGAAAAAAATTCATAATAATAATAAGAAACATTCTCCGATACGTTAACATACCGGTAAGTGAAGTTTTTTATCTGTTAGGTCTTCATAAAATCACATAAAAGTTAAAAAATACACAAATTTAACAATTAGAAAAACTTAACCTACTAATATACCAAACGTAGTAGAAAATCTTCCTCATAGTAATTGTTACCACAAACCAAAACCTGCTGGTTCAGTGCCAAACCGACGCCGGCGGTTAAGGTAGATTGATTGCCGTTTTAGGCTTTAGCTATTAAGAGCGTTCGGTTATTGAGCTGTACATAATTTTATTTTTCTTAAAAAAGAGCTTATATGTGTAAATCTGTAAAGTAATATGTTGTTTTGAACCTTAAAAACAGGGAAAACATTTTTATTTTATACATTTTTTTTTAAAAAAAGACATGTTTTTCTAGTTTCTCCGAAACGATCGAGACCACAACATCATGATCGGTGGCTGTTCGGCACTATTTTTTTCTCAGTCGGGTTTGGGAATTTGACTGAAAAACTGAAGGACTCAGTTGAACGATCGCAATTCGCAACCAAACTTAAAATGCGAAAATGCCCCTAGTTGAAGTACGATGTTGGAAATATATACACACATATATATATATATATAAAGTTGTAGTAATACTGTAGTTCACGGCAATGATCTTCTAATAGACACCCAATTACTTTTTATTCTAGAACTTAAGGATGGGGTTTGAACTCTACACGTAATCAAGAGGCAGAGTTAGGCACTTCAGACCAAAGCCGGCAATCGTAAAATGAACTAAGAAAGATGCATATAATTTTGTTTCCTTGTTTGTATTCAATTACAATCGAACCAAACATCCAAACACTTTTTTTACATTTCTCTCCAAATCATAAGAGCAATTCTTAAGATAGTCAATTTGCTACTTGAGCCCCCCAATGGACCATGTAGCCAGCGAAACAAAAACTGCAAGCAAACATGGATTTGTATAACTCACAGTCTTGAGACAGGAAATTAAATTACACTACCTTGAGCTGCAATTTTCGGTAGAAAAAAATTTCTCTTCCAATTGAAGCAGAAAGGGAACCATCCCTCCCACCCGCCAAGCCAGTCAAGCATTAATTTCTGAATTGCACTGGTGCTCCCTGCTGCAGCTTCTTCTTCCCCAAAACATGCTTGAACAGGTTGTTCTTTCAAATCTCGGCCCTTCCATTTTATCTTGGTCTACTGATGTTGCTTGAGAACGATTAGGCGAGTCATCTCCAGTTTCTGCCTCCCGAGGTTCAAATGACGGGCATGGACCATCATTGCACGTGCACAAAGGTATGGCAACAGAAGGAAAGGGGCTGCAAGTAACCGGGCAGAGCATATCGGAAG